AGATTCTGATAGGAGGAGAGCAAGAATCCCGATAGGACGGAACCCACAGCCAGCCAATCAGATAAGAGGATGGCAATTCGTGAAGTATTAATACCACTTTACAAGGCCTTGGTAAGGCCACACTTGGAATAAGCATCCAGTTTTGGTCACCACGATGTAAAGAAGATGCTGAGACTCTAAAGAGTGCAGAGAAGAGCAACAAAGATGATTAGAGGACTGGAGGCTAAAACATATAAGGAACGGTTGCTGGAATAAGGCATGTCTAGTTTAATGAAGAGAAGGACGAGGGGGGACATGATAGCAGTCTTCCAATATCTCAGGGGTTGCCCCAAAGAAGAGGGAGTCAAGCTATTTTCCAAAGCACCTGAAGGCAGGACAAGAAGCAATGGATGGAAACTAATCCAGGAGAGAAGCAACCTGGAGCTAAGGAGAAACTTCCTGACAGTGAGAACAATTAACCAGTGGAACAACCTGCCTCCAGAAGCGGTGAATTCTCCAACACTGGAGGTTTTTAAGAAGAGACTGGACGGCCATTTGTCCGAAATGGTATAGGGTTTCCTGCCTGAGCAGGGGGTTGGACTCGATGACCTCCAAGGTCCCTTCCAACTTTATTATTATTATTATTATTACAAAAGAAAGAAAAAGAAAAAAAAACGGGCCACTATAAAGCAGGGAAGATTCCCATGGAAGGAATCTCTACTTAAAATCCTAGACAAGATCAAAAACAACAACATCCCGAACCAACAAGACAGAAAGATGGGCAACCACAGGCCACGGTTTAATAGAAAGTGACAGGGTAGTTGAACATGTTTGGAGCGTTCGGAGCTGGCTTGGCGCCTCCCGAAAGATTTCCATTGGCAGCCAAGCTTTTATCCCGCAAGCAGAGAAGGCAGAAACACAGCAATTCTGCAAGCGCCAGCTTCCAGATTTCGGGGAGATCCAGCTGGCCCAGTTCTCACCCATTCTGCCAAGGCCCAAGAGCTAAAAATCATTTTTTTTCCTCTTAATGCAGATATGTCAAACACACAAGGCCCGGGGGCCGGATGCAGCCCGCTGTTTCATG